GGGGGGGGTAAGCTGTGGAAATAACAATGTCATTTAATCAGGGATAAAATTACATAAACAGGCCATGCCAGTTTGGAAATGGAGTGAAAGGTATCTCTCACAGCCTCATTGGCCGTGAAGAAGCAACAGAGCACTGGGCCCGCGCAAGCGACTTATGGTCTCTCATGTCTTTTCCGCGGCGCCCTTTCCGGAACAGCCTGAACAGATCAGATTCCTACTTACATTTGGCCTAGCATTCCCTCTCAAGACTCTCAACCACATAAAGCTTGAAAGACTGTGGTTTCCGTACCGTATGATCCGAAATTTGACCGTAAAATGGGCCTATGGCACTACACTCAGCAGCACATAAAACTTCAAAATGTGACTGAAAACAGTTCGATTCTTCAGAATTCAAACAAAATAATCGGCAGCAGCAGTTCTGAGAAGGGAACTCGTTCTCAAGACGCAGATCTGTCCAAGCTCCGATTTGAATAAAAAGACAAGAGGGCCGAGATGTGTCAAAGGACTTCGGAAGAGATATTAACCGCTTATGAACACACAGACAAGTTAGAGACAAGAAAATTCAGACAGAACATAATCCCTTAAAACTTGAAAGTAGATGTATTCCTGAGACTCTCTGAGAGATCTGAAAAAAAAATTAGTGCACTGATAGAAACTCGTCATTTTGGACAATGTCTGACTGGGGCAAATTTCAAAATTTCCCTGGCCTTCTCTCCTCAGCAAATATATTTCGCTTTCCACCCATCCCCCCCCCAAAAAAAAAAATCAGTACTCTTATTTGATTTCCGAAAAAAAAAAAAAAACGAATTTCAAAATGAAAACGAAAAAGAACCAACTTGTAGCATCAACTAATTCTGGAAAAGACAAAACTTATTAAAAAAGTGAAAAAAAAAGAAGTTCAATGTTGTGTGCTAGAATCCCATACCACTAACCCCTTGGTCTCACTACATCTGTGTACTTCCTTACCAGCACCTGACAGTGTACAAAATGATTGCTACTACATCTCTGATGGTGAAAACCCACCCTTAGGCCTGTCTTGTGTCAATTTGTCAAAGAAGTAGTAGATGCCAATTTGTCAAATCGACAAGTCCGGTGTCTCCATCGTCCTCATAGCAAAACTTCTGCCAAACACTGACAGTCGTCAACACTCAACATGCAAGGCCATCTCCACACTCTGTCTGCAACCAGCATAGTCAAAATAACATGAGCTTGTTCTCTTAAAACTGATATATAGGAATTCTACTCAACCACAGCTCGGCACGACAATAGGCAGCCGCTGCACTTGAACAGGAGGAGGCTAGGAAGTTTACACTAACAGTTATTAACTTGTTATCACTAACCGACCAGCTCCTCCACCAAGGAAGGGCGGTTATACTGTCAAGCATCATGCCAGATCAAATCTGACACCAAGATGACTGGCCGAATTAGATCTGTGTACCCAAAACAAGAGAACTTTACTATGACCTCCACTGGCTGTATTGTCACTAGGCCTGCAACTATTATGTTAACTTTCTGACAGACACACCGGTCCCCAAACAGTCTACTCGTTCCCCGTGGACACTGCAAGCTCTACCTTGCCTGCAACTTCCTCCAGTATAGCTAGAATGCCCGTGTGGGGTGCTGCCATGTCCGGCCGCTTCCGTCTGTTGTAGCTGGTGCAACACAAACCCAAACGTGCCACTCTACGAGCCAGGTCAATATCCCAACAGCCTGCATTGGGATCCAGAGCATTCTCAAAAGCATTGTCATCTTCAATGGCATCCTCAACGACTTCAAATGCATTTGTGAAATTTCCAGTCAGCATCTCCAAAAGAGTGATGCCAAAGGCAAAGACATCGGTCTTCTCACTGAAAACTCGGAACTGCCAGGACTCTGGAGCGACATAGTGAGAGTTTTGTTGTGTGAAAAGCTGTGAGGTCCTAAGTGTTTTCTCAACTCCTTCGCGAGGCTCTGAGTCAAGCAGAGCACGATCAACACCACCGAGCTTTGCAACAAATTTGTCATCCAGAAAGATGGTTGTTGGTCTGATGGCAGAGTGGATGATGGGACCACCAGTCCCCAGCGGATCTGAATGGAGGAAGCACAATGCTCTTGCAACCTCTGCCATTACGCGGAAGCGAGCATACCATGTGCTTTGTCTAGCACATGAGATCCAATCTTTCACAGTTCCTCGTGCCATATTCTCGTAAACCAGATAGCTCTCTTCATAACAGACACCAAGCAGTGTCAAGATATGAGGATGTCGAAGCAATCTCAACCTATCGACCACCTTTGACTTCAACGTGTCATGAGGTATCCTCTGCGTACTTGCATCTAAAATCAGCTTCTTCACACTAACAAGGGTGTCATCATTCAGTTTTCCCTGATAGACACGTTCATGTTGATCCACTTCCCATCAAAATTCTCTGTAGCAACCTGGAGTTCCTCGCCTGAAAACTCTTGGAGCAATGGAACGCACGTCGTCTTCGCATCACCAACCTCTTGTTGCAATTTCTTCTCCAATTCCCTAACTTTCTCGACGAGGATGTCTCTCTCAGACTCCAGCATAGAGACTCTATGTTCTACATGTGCTTTGGACTTGGTGTCTTCCTCTGCTTGTCTTTCTCTCTCAGACACAAGCTGAGAGATCTTATCTGCTAAACGTGCCTTGGACTTGGTCTCTTCTAGCAATTTGCTCTTCACCCCCTGAATCTCCTGTTTTGACCCCTCCAACATCCCTACCACTGTTTGCATTCCTTTTTCCAACTTCTGGACCCTCTTAAAAGGGCCTTTACCCGATATAGGCCTCAGGCCTTGTAAAAATAAAGCAGCACAGGCCTTGAAAAAGTAAAGCATTGTGAAAAGGTATCTCGTCAGAGCTCAGAAACGTGAAAGCAGGTCAAAGGTCAAGTTCTCTATCAACAGGCATATTTAAAACT